AGCCCGGCGGCGGCTGGCGGGCCAGGCTTTCCGCAGTAATCCCAGTCCCTCGAGCGTGCGCTCGCGCTCTGTGGTGTTTGCACGAGTACACGCAAGTGGCTCTGTCCTTCAGTGCTCGGTCTAGGTAAATATTTACACTGCGAAGTCAGAGGCTTTGCTCCGACTTGATCTTGGAAGTCGCCCGGTTTTTATTAAGCCAGCATTCTCGAGAAGGGTTACCAGGCAGCGCGGGGGTGCGGCCAGCCGCAGCGAAGGCAGGAGGGCTCGCTCGGCACACCTTCCCTCCACACCTCCACGTTCTTCGTGTTTCAGGAGGGCATTCCCAGCACTGCCGGGGCAGAGGAAAGCTTTTTCTCTCACTAAATGCCGAGCTTAAGGCCGGTGGTAACGGGAAGGTGGAGCAACACGTGGCTGTGGGCATGCTGGGGGGACCCGAGGCAGGGTCTGACCCAGAGCAGGGTCCCCCCCCGGGCAGAGCAGCTCGTCCTTCCCGTGGAGGCTGAGCAAGGCTGGCGTGGACAGGAGACGCGGTGGCCTCTCTGGGTTGTGGCATGTGGCAAGGCCAGAGCCGCAGCACGATGCTGAGCGGGTCAGAGTAGGTGTCTTTGGGCACATTGCAAGGCAGCGGAGACATTGTGGTGCCTGGCAGCTGCTTTCTGGGGCTGAAGGTAGCAAGAGGTGGTGGGTTCTGCTTGGGAAGTCCTGGGCCACGTTTCTTCACTCCTGTGAAGTTTCAGGCACTCACTTGACTGTGACTTGAGTGGTTGAGTCCCCATCCCTGGAGGTGCTCAAAAATATGTAGATGTGGTACTTGGAGACATGGTTTAGCAGGCATGGGGGTGTTGGGGTGACCGTTGGACTTCATGATCTTGGAGGTCTTTTCAACCTTAATGATTCTATGACTGCAACCAAGGTGTTTTTTTTCCCTGCGTGGTTCTGAGGGATTAGGTCAACGGATAGAAGCTGTGTTTCTGGTCAGGTTGGGATATCTTCTAATGTTTCTGGACAGGGAAGATTCAGGGCTGCTGAAACAGGAAAAAATGGCCACTAAATAAAAGGAATCGGCAAGAACTGGAGATAGCGAGACTGTCCCCTGCGTTCCCTTCTGCTCCGGAGCTGCTCTGCCCGTAGAGGCAGGGGAGTCGCTGCCGGGATCGGAGCCGGGGCGCGGGGAGGCTTGCGGCCTAGAGCCGGGTCAGGCGCGGCGAGCGGCTTTAGGGCGCTGCGGGCAGCCCCCGAGAGCAGCAGCGCAGGCCAGAATCCGCTGGGAGAC